ACAAAATTTGTCGTTGCAAAATTCTAACAAGGGGAAGTGTCTTCGTCAAATACCAACTCGTTGTAAGCTTCTTTACAGGCAAAAACATGTTTATTTGTTGTATCACCAACTACTTTCACTCAAATTATGTCTCTAAAGTCAACAAAAGATATATGGGATAATCTCAAGACTGAGCACGAGATAGATGAAAAAATTCGTGGGATGAAAGTCTTGAATCTTGTACATGATTTTGAGCTGCAAAAGATGAACGAGATTGAGATAATCAAGTAGTATTCTGACATGCTTGTTAGCATAGTCAATAAAGTCAGACTGCTAGGTTCGTTTCTAGCAGATTCAAAGATTATGTAGAAAATCCTCATAACAATACTTGAGAGGTTTAAGACCACCATAACCACCTTAGAGAACATGAAATATATGTCAAAGATTACTTTGGCGGAACTCTTAAGTGCTTTGCAAGCACAAGAGAAAAAACGTGTAATGAGACAAGAAAGAGCATTAAAGGTGCTCTACTAGTTAAGCTTGAAGATGATGGAAAAAAAAGGAGGTTAAAATACCTAAATTTTCACACTACGAGTAGAGAAAACTATGCATTTAGGAATAAAAATAAAGGTGAAAATACAAGAATAGGGATAAATAAGGATTATCCTCCATGTGAACATTATGACAAGAAAGATCATCCTTCTTTCAAGTGCTAGAGAAGACAGGATGCAAAGTGCAACAGATTTATCCAAATGAGACATGAGGATATTATTTGCAAGTATACAAATTGGCAACAAAAAGATGAAGCATAAGTGGTAGATCAAGATGAAGCATAAGTGGTAGATCAAGAAGAAGAATATTAGCTTTTTGTTGCAACTTGTTTCACTAGTCACAAAACAAGTGAAAGTTGGCTCACTGACAGTGACTGCACTAATCATATGACACATGATAAGGAGTTATTCAAAGATATTAAGAGTATCAAGTCTAAGAAGGTCAGAATTGCAAACATTGAATACATTGTAGTCAAAGGAAAAGAAACTGCAACTATTGCAAGTTGTTCAGGTACCAAGCTTATTATTGATGCTCTTTATGAACCTGATATTGATTAAAATCTGCTTAGTGTTGGTCAATTAGTAAAGAAGGGATTCAAATTGAAGTTCATGAAGAAGATATGTGTGATAAAGGATGCTACAAGATAAAAAAACATTTGAAATAAATATGACAGAGATAAGTTTTTCCCTTAATTCAATACAAAAAAAGAAATTAAATTTTCTAATCAAAGAAAGCCTTACAATGTTGTGGCATAAAAGGCTTAGAAACTATCAACATCAACGTATATTGAAGATGAAGTTCAAATGTTTGGAATTGATCTTCCAGAACTTGATGATCACATATTGACATGTAAGGCTTGTTAGTTTGGAAAGAAAAATAGAAAGTCATTTCTAAAGAAAATATGCAGAGCTACTTGTAAGTTACAATTGATTTACACAATCATTTCTGGGCCTCAAAGAAATCATTCATTAGTAGGTAGTCGATATTATGCTGCTTTTTATTAATGATTTTATAAGAATGTGTTTGATTTTTTTCTTAGAATTCGAGTCAGAAATTGTCGGAGCATTCTAAAAATTCGAAAGGATTGTGAAAATCAAAGTGAAAATAACATTCAAATATTGAGGTTCAATTATGGTAAGGAGTATACATCATAAAATTTCAATGCATTTTGTGAAGAAGCATGCATTGAGTATCATTTGATAATTTCTTATGCGTTGCAGTAAAATGGAGTTAATGAAAAGTGAAATAAATATATCTTAAAAATGACTAGATGTATGCTACATGAAAAGAATTTATCACGCATATTGTCCCTTTCAAAGTTTCAACAATCTTAAACTATTAGCAATATCTAACAAATGAGATAAAAGAGTTTTTTCTTTCTGTAATTCCCATAAATGTCGAAAACTGTTATTTTGCTATGGAATCACCACGCCTACTGTCCCTTTCAAAGTTTCAGCAATTTGATATGATTATTATAACATAAATATTTAATATATTGATGATATATAATTTTATATAACATTAATATATTAAATGCTAATACATTAATTTTAAAATATCATAATAATATATCATCATTGAATTCAGGGTAAACTACATAAATGACCACATAACTAAGGGTCGGGTCGCGAAATGACAACCATTTTCAAATTTGTGTCAATATAACCACTGAATTATTTAAATGATTTTAATATATTCATCTGTTGTTAACATTTAATTGAAGTCTTTACGGTGAAAATTAATAAAATTGGTATAATTAGGGAACGAGTCCTTGTAAAGTTACGTATTCGTGGCGTTGACATCCTGCTTTTTTTTCCCCATTTTGGTCATTACTTGTACATGATTTGTTTCATTGGATTTTCATTTAATGCAATTTGATCCTGATTCTGTTTTTAATTTTTCTAATGCATCAATTTGAGCATTAACTTTAAAATATTTTATTATGTTCATATATTAAATTTATAGATTAAATCCCGTAGAATCTAGAATTAATCAATTTGATCACCAAGATTAACTTTAATTCTTAATTTTTAATTAGGTTATAATTTCAATTTAATTTAATAAATCTATTTCTCCAATCAAATTGTGATACATTTCACCTTTTGTATAATGCAATTGAATTAATTTAATAAATTTTCAATCCAATCAAAAGGCGACACATTTCATCTTTTTAATTGAAGTGAAAATAAATGAAAATGAGTTTGAAACCCAAGGGAATCCAACTTAGGTCCCAAGGGTGACTTGCACATGCCTTAACCACTGTGCTAATTCTCACACTTATTGAGATAATAAATATGTTATATAACTTGTTCAAGTTTAGGTATAAAAAATTAAAATAATTGAACTGGATTTGAACACAAAATGAATTAGTAACCAAGCAAGCCTTAACGAATAAACTAAATTTAATATTTAGGAATCAATTATAAATGAGAACTTACATCTAGGCCAACTGAGAATTTGAAAACACTTAAATCACTAAAATAAATATAATAGTTTATTTATAATTGATTTAAGATTTTAATATTTTAAATTAAATTTATTTTTTGATATTTATTTTTAATGATTATATATATATATGAAATAATAAAAAATAATTTAATATTCAAATTATAATAATAAAAAAAATTATTTATGTTTCAAATCATAAATTTATCTTTTGATTTTAAATTATGCTCGTGAGTTCAGGTATGTTAAATAAGTTTTTAATTTAATTTTAAATATAATTTCATATATATAATCATTAGTAAATAAATATAAAATAAATTTAATTTAAAAATATTAAAATCTTAAATTAATTATAAATAATATATTATATATTTAGTAATTTAAAAATTATCATATTCTCAATTGACTCAGATTTAAATCCCCACTTGTCTATTTTTATTTCTATCATTAACTACAATATATAAAAATATTTTAAAATTGATTCCTAAATATTAGATTTAGCCTATATGTTATGGCTTTTCTTGGTTATTAACTGATCTTGGGTTCAAATACAATTAAATTGTTTTAGTAGTATATTTCTGCCTAAACCTGAACAAATTATATAACATATGTATTACCTTGATAACAAGTGTGAGAATTTGTTCAAAGATTAATTCTAAAATCTAGGGGATTTAGTCTATAAATTTAATACATTATTAGAATAAAAGATTTTTTTTATTAGAATAAAAGATTTTAAAGTTAATGCTCAAATTAAGGAACTAGACAAATTAAAATAGAATCATGATCAAATTGCATTAAATGAAAATCCAAGGAAACAAATCATATGCAAGTAGTGACCAAAATGGAAGAAAAAAAGTAGGGTGCTAGCGCCGCGAATATGTAACTTTACAAGGACACAACCCTAATTATATCAATTTTGTTAACTACAACGTAAACACATTTATTAAATGTTAACGATAAGTGACTATATTGAAATCATTTGAATAGTTCAATGATCATATTGATGTAAATATAAAAATGATATTCATTTCACGACTCAACCCTTAGTTACATGATCATTTATGTAGTTTACCCTTGAATTTACTAAAGATTCATCAAATTTTAATTCTTCTTGTATTTTAAAATAAAATGCATTCAATCCGATGTCAAAATACGAATAACCAAAGCCTATCCAACGCTAGGACAATCAAACAACCGACATCCACTAAATCCAAAGTACAACCAAAGAAAAAATTACATACAAGAATAATAACTTGATCAATAAAAAAATTCCATAATTCTCAAAAAACATAAAATATTTAATAAGAACACCGGAAAAAAATCAAATTGTATGCAGATTAGGTCATCATCATTCGAACCCAAAGCTATAGCAGCATCTGCAACAACAATGGTGAAGCATTACTGAATTATCTCATTAAAATAATATTACTTATTTTTAATTTTTTAAAATAGTCTCATCCAATTCAGTATATAAATATATACACTATTTGTCGCCTCAATGTTTGGTTAATAGGAATTAACACTAGGAAAACATAACAATTATATACATTTTAAAATAATATATCATAATATAAAGATATATGAGTAAAAATTTGAACTTAAAATTAAATAAAAATAGTAATTAGTTAAAATAAAAAAGATTTATTTGTCCTCTTAGTAAAAATTAAACTATATGAATAATTAAAAATTATAGAATAAATTTAATTTTATTATTTTATATTCTAAAACAATAATAAATAACGTTAACTATGTATTTAGTCATCTAACTATTTGAGAAATTTCATTTTGGTCACTTAAATATTTTTTCAAAATAATACCTAACCTTTTGTTTTGGTTTTATTTTGGTTATTCCCAATTAAAAAAAATAACATTACTGTTGATATGACATTTTTATATTTTTTCAATGATGACGTGACATTATCTTATTATGACACGCCAATATCAGGGTTAATTTTTTAACAACGAATGATCAAAATGAAATCAAAACATAATATTAGATGTGATTTTGAAAGAAAAAATAGATGTGTGATCAAAATGAAACCGTGTAAATATTAAGTGACTAATACATAGTTGACCCAAATAAATAACAGTGCCACCAAATATAGCATAATGAAATATACATGAATGATGATAAACTTATACACTGGCTTCGGCTTCAAGTTTCTTGGAAGCAGGAACACATATGTAGATTAGAAAAGGGCTTGCATTGGCCCCTCCCTTTTATTATGCATGCGTTCATGCTCTGGATGGATCTTCTTTTTCAACATCCTCTGCTTCATTTAAACAACCAGATAAAATTCGTTCAATCAACTAAATTCTGCATTATATTAATATATGAAATTAACACAAAATTCCAGTGGTTAATAATACTCACTTTGTTTAGCATTTTGATAGGACTTGAATCCTTTCCAACACGAGGAGCGAATTTGTTGGCAAAAGAAGGCTCCTTTTTGCAAGTATTTAACTCTACGCCAAGAGAGGTGGGGTTATTTTTCATGTCGGACTCTTGATAGAAGAGATCTGCTAGGGTAGTTCTTTTTCTCCGCTTCGCAGAATGGTCCTCAAAACTATGGCCCAACAGCAGTGGGTTCACTTCTTCCTCACTGTTGCTATCTTCATCTTCGTCTTTTACTTCTTCGTCGTCGTCATTTTCTGAGGCTAAGTGGGCTTTTTTCCGGCCAAAGGATTTCAAAGTGTAAAAACCGAAGGTTTTGATTGTTAGAACGCCATATCGCCAACCATCCAGCAGTTCAAACAGAGCTACATGATCGAGTAAGGCTTTTGAATTTGTGTCGATTGTAATGGAATCAGTCTTCTTTACATTTCGAGCCAGTCCATCTGCACAAAATGGCAAGTTTTCTCATATATATTAGATATGTGCATGATGTTGGACTAAGAAAAAACAAATGATAAGAATATTAAACCTTTGAGGAGATTATGAGTCTTGTTCACCCAGTTGAAGATCTATCAAACACGAAAATCCAGTGCAATTCATTACAACAGTGTATAATAATAAGCAAGGAATTATGAGTAGGTATGATTTACCTTCATTTTTCTCAGCTGAGGAGAGCGGGAATATCGTTTATGATGGGGGAAGAGGTGAGACTTATAGTGGGCTAAAAATCAAGGGACCGATAAGTGAAGGAATTAGGAGGCAACACGTGGCTAAAGAAGTAGGCCCTAACAAATAGCCATAGGCATGTTTTGCGGGTGCATCATTCGTTATAATGCATGTTACTATGCTGGATCTTCTGGCTTGGTCGATGTCGGCGATATTCTACATTATGTTTGGGGAAATCTCTCTCTCTCTGTACCTCTCCTCATATGCATTCGGTAGTTTACCATTTTAATTATAAGATAATATCTATTTATATTTTTTTATCATTAATAGACATAATTATTTGAATTTAAAACTTTTAAGAATAACAACATGCTTCTTAATTATTGAGACTGCTTGATAGATTTTATAATTTTAAGGAGTGATTATAAGATAATATCTATTTATAATATTTCTTAATTATTGATAACACACTTATATTCATAGACATAATTACTTGAACCAAAGACTTTTAAGGAAAATAACATTTTTCTTTTTATCTAGTAGTAATGAATATATATATTTTTTAAATACTATAAGGTGATTATAATATAGTATTAGTTTAAAATTATTTTAGTTATTGGTAACACGCATAAACTTATAAAGATAACTATCGGAACTCAATATCTCAAAAAAATAATAAATATTTTCTTTAGTTATTGAAATCACTCGAATTCAATGATGATGAATATCTATACTGAAATAAAGTACTAGCACTTTTTTTTTTTTGTGTTACATTGTTAAATCATTGCCCTTAATCACTCACATTTATAACCTATATCTATACATAGAGTTAGGCCCATATCGATATTCCTTGTTTGAATAATAATGGGAATTGAGCACATTTACGAGAATGAAAATCTTTTCAGAGGGCATTAAGGATGAAAGAGATTAATAATCATTATTATTGGTGATAGATACACTGGTTTCCAAAAAAATGTGTTAATTACAACGTTTGTAAGACAATCCTTGTTGAATAGTCTGAGTTATTACAATTATAGTTCTTTGATTAAGAGAAAAAAATAGTGCAAATAAGTGAAATGAAATTTGTGGAAAAAGACCGATAACAAAACTAGAGCAGATCTTGTATTATTAAGCTTAGTAGTAGTGTTTTTTAAAGATAACAAAAGTAATCCAAAAAATTAATATTCTATTGTTTACTCTTGAATTTTGATGAACATAAGCTATGAATAACTTTGTTAATCATATGCTATAAATTTTATAGAAAGAAAGTTAAAAAAATACTGCATTTTAATTTTCCATTCTTTCAAAAACTATATGGCTATGGATAGATATATACACATTTTGTTTGATCAAAGTCATTGGAAAAGGAGTTTCTTTATTCTTTTGTCACATGGAAGTTAAATGAGTTGTAAGATATGGTTACACAAACATTCCATAGATAGTGGAACTGTGGTACTACCTATTTCTATGGATATGCTTTCAATCTAACATTTCATTCATATCTCAGCTTTCTTATTCCAAACCAACACCACAAAATAGATCTATCCCCTATTCACATGGATTGCCGAACTCACTTTAGCGTTGTCCATACCTAAATAATTTAAATCATAGTTGGAGGATAAAAAAATTATTTCCTCCCCTCTATTAAAGTTTTCATTCTTTATCTACTTTTTTTTAAAAATTAAACTTCAATCATAATTATTTTAAGATTATTATTTAATTTTATAAAATATATATTTAAAAATTATTTAATTCAATTTCATAAAACAATTTTTTTATAGTTTTTATTGATAATAAACTTCAAATGATAAGAGATTAAAATTTATTTTTTTTAGAAAAAATAATAAAAATTATTTTAATAGGATGATAGGAGTATTAAATAAGTAACCTAAGTTGAACCTTTCCAAATCTACAATGTATATTTTTTTCTTAAATCAAGTTGAACTTTTCGGATTAGGTATGTAACACCCTCAATATTATTGTTTTAATTTAAATTTATTGAATTAACTTTGAGGACCAAATCATAAAACTTTAAACTTTGGGGTCAATTTTTAAAGCTTCTGGAAGTTCAGTGATTTAACTCTGAATTTGACCCTTACCTGTCAGCAAAGAAAATAAAAATATTTGGAGAAGGTGAGGCTAGCAAGCCTTGAACTCGTGATCTAAGGTATGGCCAATCATGCCTCTACACTTAGCCTAGGCCACTATTCGTTATAATTTTAATAAATATAATTATTATGCTTGTTAGTCGGGATTTTAAATTTCCAAAAGCCAATTTTCCCCGATTTGAATCGAGCTTTCCCAACTTAAATCCCTAAAAAAATTTCACCAATAAAACCTTTCAACGTCAATCGCAACCATTTCTGACCGTTGTATGGTTCACTGTCGGCATCATCTGAAGCATCGGGCCGCCGTGAAGCAAACCCAATCGGTCAATCGTCGTAATACCTCGTCGTCCGCCACCAAGGTGCTTTTGAAGGATTCGTCAAAACCCCCCGTCGTGCGTCAGTTTTTTATCGATTTCGGCCAAAACTCGACGGGGTTCGTCGTTGTTCTCGCCGTTCACCGTGGGTAAGTATCTGATCATTTGATTAAGTTATTTTCCTGGTGTTTTGGCTTGAAAATGTGTTAGTTTAGGTTATTGGTGAATTGATGTTGTTGTTTTGGTGTTCTCGGAATGATCGATCGTCTGTCCCGACCCCTATCACGGCCGCACGTTTCACCACGCGCCGACAGCACGCGTGGGGCTTGTTCCTGGTTAAGTGAATAGTCTAGAATCGGTCCAAGTGGACCAAACTAGCCCGAACCGGTCTGAGTCAACCCGTACCAAACTGATCTGACTCAACCGGAACCGGTCTGACCATTTGACATTGACCCGAACCGTTGACTTTGACCAGAGTTGACCGTTAACTTTGAGTTCGACCAAAAAGTTAAATTTTCTGAAAAGTCATATTTTATGTTTTTCGACGTCCTGAGTCTGAATCCAAAGTCCAGTTTTGCTAAATTCGAACCCGAAAGCCTCCAAATTCACCCGTAAACCCGAATAAGCATATGTAAATTAAGTATTTATTTCAGTACATCAATTTTTGCTGAAACGTCAAGGACTAATAAATGTTATCAAATATTTAAGGTAATCGAGGATCTCCTGATTGTTCGACTGCTTGACCGGGTTCCTCTCGACTCGCTCGTCCGCAAGAGCCGACGAATAATAGTTCTGTAACCCTGTTAAATATTCAGTTTAGTATATTTACTCCGATTATAATTGTAGACGCATTTTTTTTGACGAAATTAAAAGCATGTATATATATATATATATATATTATTTTATGTATATATTATATATATTATTAACAAAAATTTTATTATTATTTACGGGCCCAATGAACAGTTACAACCCATCAGGCCTAACAGTGGCCCGTTTTCAGGCCCAATGACCCGATTTGGAGTAGGGTTTGTTCGAAACCCTAGCTCTCCCTCACTCGTCTCGCCGCAACTGCCCCGAAGTCCCCACTCCTCATGCAGCCACTCGGTCAGCAAACCTAACTTTCCCGGTGGTTCCCTCGGCAATGTCGACAACCACCAACAAGAAAACAAACACAAGTGTTAGTGTTTTATTAGGATTTAAACACCTAAAAATAGGGTATTTGAAGCCCTATAAATGAGATGTAATCGAGAATAAGAGAAAAAGGGGGAGGACAGGCACAAACATACTATTTTTACACTATGATTACACGCACATAAACACAATTTTTGTACATGAAATACCAGACAAATACGAAGAAAATACATGATTGTTTCGAAGCATTTTTGGTAACGATTCCGAAAAGAAAATAAAGGTAAAAACCTTACCTTTTGTCGGTCGAGGCTTGCATGTAGGATTTGTTTTGATTTTTCATCGATTTGGTTAGAAGAAAACAAAAAATATTCTTTCAAAAGTTCCTTAGATCTATGCTCCGCCGCTGTTGTTTTTCAAAAAATGTTTGTCGTTTTGAAACAAGAGGGTTAAAAGGTTTTTGAAAAAAAAAAATTTGCGCCGCTGATGACTGGTGGCCGGCGCCAATCAACGGCGGTCGGTGAGGCGGCATCGATTAACGACGACCTGTGAGACGACGCAGCTGTCGGAATCTGGAAACAGCGGTGGCTATTCTTCCTTGATGAAGAACAACCGAGAGAAAAATAGAGAAAAGGGAAAGGGGGCTCGGTTTAGAGAAGGAGAAAATGAAATTAAAAAGAAAATTTGGCTTATATAGTAAGCCCACTGGACCGACCGACCCGAGCGGATCTCCTAGGGGATCCGCGTGTTTTTGAAAGAAAGTGGGATAACCCTAGTTTTAGTCCCCTTTCATTTTTGAAACTTTTATTTCACTCCCTAATTCACAATTTTAACATTAATTTTCTTCCGAATTTGACCCTCCAGTTTGGCTTTCATTTCAACTTAGTCCCGTTGTGATTTTTTTTTATTTCTATTTAATTCTATTATAATAATAATTATTATGTTTAATAGTATTATTCCTTTTTTTTACTATACTTATTTTATATCTCCTTTTATTTTATTTTATTTTTGTCCTAATATTTATTTATATATGTACATATATTTATTTATTTTACATAATATTTCTACGTATACATTTTTTCTATTTTCTACTTATTTTACTATATACTATATCTTACTATATGTATGTTATTTATATTACTTTTTTTTTATTATTTTCCTTTTCCTTTTTATTTTTGTTTATGTTTCTTTTCTATTTTCTCTTTGTTTTTTATTCTTTTTTTCTCATTTTTATTTGTATTCATTTTTTGTTTTGTTTTATTTTATGTTTATTTTATGTTTATTATTTTATTTGTTCTCCTTATATTATTTATGTTATTATCATTTTTATCATTTTCTTATTTTGTTTATTATTTTTAGCATTTTATATCTTAATCCCATTCGACTTCTCATTTCAAATTTAACATTTGAGTCCTTTTAAGGGTCTACGTTCAAATCAATAAGAGGTAAGTAATTCATATCAATTTTTATCTTTTTAATTAAACTTGTAATTTTTGTAAT